CAGTCATAACACATACACTTAATAAAGTTTCCAAAGTGATTCAGAATAGAATTGAGCCTTGAGATTTTAGAGAACAGAATGTCCCAGAAGGAAACTCCCCCAAATGTCCATCAGCATAATACTTGATGAAAATTACCATCAGGAGTGGAGTTTGAATGAAAATAGGGGTAGGAACTTTCTTAATCTGAGATTGGGCTTTTCCTGAGAAGGGAATTGCTACTGGGTTTGTATTAGAGAAATCCTGCTAATACTCATGTATATATGCTAGACGGGGACAGCATTTTCCCCAACACCAGCGATCTCATTCTGTCAATATCTTTTAGAAGTGGTTTGGGGGTTCACATTGGCAATGCAGGGTGCTATATAGTGGACATGATGGACATGGAGTGGAGGCAGAGCAGTGCCTCTGAGTATCAGAGTGAAACAGGTTTCTTCAACAAGTAGGTATGAATTGTTGGCCTAATGAAGACGCAGCCTACAGTGCACACAAACTCTCACGGACCTAGTAGGCAATTAATCTTGGGCAAATTTAGATGATTAGAGCTGGTAGGTATTCTAGGAAGCAAATGAAAGCATCTAGAAAGTGCTCCATGAAGTGTAAACTATCTCATGCTTTTCCTTCGCAGGTTCCGGTTCAGTGGTAGGATCCTTGGTCTTGCACTAATACACCAGTATTTGTTGGATGCTTTCTTCACACGGCCCTTTTATAAGGCTCTTCTCAGAATGTAAGTGTATTTATTGCTCATGTAAATAGCGTGTAAAAATGCAGTATTTAATTTATTTGAAATAAATTTGATGTCATAGTCATTGTTTATCTGTTCACTATCTCAAATCTGTTGCTATTAAACATAATAGTTGTTTAGATTTCTGAAACTAATACAATTTCAAATAGTGTGTTTTTCCTACTTCTGACCCTTTATTCCTGTCTCAGTCCCAAAGTCTTAGTTTCGCTCTACTCTGAATAACTTACTCTCATTTGTTGCAACACATGTTTTTTTTCAAAACAATTGTACTTCAGACACAGCCCTGGAATTCTTGTGGTATTAATGCCGATTATTAATAGAATAGTTGTGGGTTGTTCTTGGTGACTCATAGCCCCCATCCTTTATAAGATGCATTTTATATTTGGCTTTATGCAGACTTCCAACTGCTTACTTGGTTCAAACTTTCATTCTCCTTTCTTTTGTTTTTGTTTTATTTTCTGTTTGTCGGGTGGACAGTGACATGCTTTTCTAAAAATCTCCCTGTATGCAAAACAGTAATTTAAGATGGCAGACAAAAATTTAACGTTCACAGAACTTTTTCTTCATTGTTATCATGATGAAAGATTGCAATTATTGTAAAATGTAGAGCTAACTGTTGCTGTCATATAATCAGTAGTCATTTACAAGGCTGAACAGGAGAAGGCAGCTGTCTGTGGGGTAGTAGCTAAAACTTACAATGAGAAAGCAATGAGTTATAGCTTGGTTCTGTCCAGCCATTCCCAGACCGAGGCCACGTATCTGCTTTCTGTAAAATGGAAGCCGTAGACCTCAAATGAAAGCAAACAAAATATTTCTTGTGCACCCTTAGGGCGGTCAGTAGGAAGATTTTTGCCTTCCTTCTTTCATTGCCTTTGCAACTGTAGCACTAGGCAAGAGAGGCCACTTTCTGTCTCTCTGGTTCTCACTGGCTCACTTTGCATCTTTGTGTTTCATTGCTTTAATTCTCATCTTCTTTAAGCTTCCTGGAAGAGTAGTTTGTACTGATCATCTACACTTACCTCAAATTCATATCCTCAACACAGTTTAGCCTGACTTCTTTCCCACCAATAACCTATGGAGGCTTTTAAATAATACTTTTTAGTCCTTATCTTATTGGACCATTCTGTTGCTTTTGACACTGTGGACGACCCAGCCCCACCCTCACCCTTGTTTATTCTTGAGTTTTTCTTCCACTGCCATCACTGTACTGTCCTGCTTCTCCTTTTGCTTTTTTGTCTCCTTTGTGGGCCTTTCCTCTGACTTGACCCTTAAACCTTGATGTTCCTCAAGTTTCCATGGTTGGCCCCCTGCTTTTCTCATTCAGTGTGCTCTCATGGGGCAATTTCTTCACCTGTCCCATCTCCTGCTGACTCCTAAATCTGTTCCCTCAGTCTCGACCTCGCTTGAAGTGTATAGTCTCACATGCTAAACAGTCCATCAGATACTTCCACTTGGATGTCTCACAGGGACCTCAAAATCAACACAGTTAAAAGTAAACTCATCAATTTTCCCTGACCTAAAAATGTACCTTCTCCCATGTGCACAGTGGCAGTTAATGGTGTCACTATTCTTGGATCACTGTGATCAGTAATTGGAAGTCACCCTTAGACGGGGATGACAAATACACAGCGCATGTTCTACTCTTCCCCACCTCTGATTCCGTTGCCATGGTGTAGTTCACAAGTCATTGCTAGTACATGTTTCCACTGAGCTCACTGTGGTCTCAGAAATCTTTTCAACTTATAATGCTCAAGACTGGCAATTAATCAGAGTTGGCTTGTGACATGAGTTCATTTGCCAACCCTATATTAAATATTCTTCTTTATACCCCCCACAATAAAACCATGTACTAATTTCTACATGTTTGTCTTATAATTGTCAAATTCACCTTCTCCTTTCCACCCCTGATCGCCCTGCCCTAATGAGAACCCTTATCTTATTTGAGCCAGGTAAATATAGTGGTCTATTAATTAGTGTCCACCCTCTAATGATAGCCACACCCCCTCCCCCTCCCCATTTTAAATAATCCTTTATACTGC